AGCTGTCTACACTGGCCGCTTGCTTTTCTGGAAAAGCAATGACGATCTACTGTAAAATTGTCAGTGTTTTTCCGGAAAAACTATGCTGCTCCTGTTCGGGCAAAAGTCCTTTTCCGGAAAAACTGTTCAGGAAAAGGGCCAGTGTAGACAGCACAGTAGTCTTTTCCGCAAAAAAGCCCCGATCACGAAAATGACGATCGGGGCTTTTTTGCAGAAAAGTGCGTCTACATTGGCCACGGACGCTTTTCCGGAAAAAGTGCTTTTCCAGAAAAGCATCCTGCCAATGTAGCTTTTTCCGGAAATACTTATAACGGAAAACTGTTCCGTTTTAATCATTTCTGGAAAAAGGTGCCAATGTAGACGTAGCCATTAAGTAGCTCAAGGTAAAAGAGCTTTAGCCATTTCTGCAACATATCAGCCTAGGGATGTGAATGAGTAGTTGAGTAGCACTATCAACTACTAGATCACGTCCTCCCCTCCCCCCATCTGCTGCTCTTAAAGGGACAGAAAGGAGCCAGTGTGCAAAAATGCTGGCTCAATCTCTGGTCCCCTGCTTGGTCTCAGGACAACTCCTCCCCTTCCCTGCCACTCTGCATTCTGAAAGGGACAGAGCAGCAGCAGCGGGTCCTGCTGCTCTCTCTCAGCACAAGCTCTCCCTCCCGCCCCCCCTCACCCCACCCCATTGCCACTTTGCATTTTTAAACAGATGTGGGGGGAGGGCTTTTGGACCAGCTGCTCCTGCTCTGTTCCTTTCAGAATGCAGAGTGGTAGTGGGGGGGTTGTCTTGACATCCAGTGGGGGATCAGAGATTGAGACAGTGTCTTTGCACGCCAGCTCCTCTCTGTCGCTTTTAGAACGCAGAACAGAGGGGGAAGGGGTTGTGCAGCGACCTAGAAGTGAGCACTGTAACTGCCTTTCCCTAACCACTAGTCAAGTAATTGATGGAAATTCCATCAACTACTCAACTAGCAAATTAATTGCTACTTAACATCCCTGTATCAGCCATTTCCTTCTGGGTTCCCACAACAAATTTTTGGTGACCACACAGTGCAGTATCAAGTCTTGCTGGTGGCCACTCTGATAGTTTTTCCTAAAATACTTAACTTTAGAATAAAACAATATCCACATATACGCATAGGTGTCAACTCCACAAGTGCTCCAGGATAAGAGCACCAGGGGAAAAAAATGAGCAGGTGCTTAGCATCCACCAGCAGCCAACCTTCCCACCTACTGGCAGCCTCACTGATCACCTCCTTCCTCTCTCCACCAGACCCTCCTCAGCCACCGCGATCAGACGACCAGCCAATTAGCTGGTCTGCGAGATGCAGGAGGCACTGGAACAGAGGAGGAGAAAAAGGAATGGTGTGCACTCAGGGGAGGGGGCAAGAGATGGAGCAGGAGTAAGACCATTGGGTAAGGGGTGGGATTGGTGCTTAGGGAGACGGATGAGGAGAGAGGGGTGAGAGTTGGGGCAGGCCTGCAGCAGAAAGTGGGTTGAGCACCCCGAGGAAGAGAGGAAGTCAGCGCCTATGCATATATACCGGTATGTTGAAATCATTGTAAATTTATTCAAGGTTTTTTTTTTGCATATTCAATAATAAAAATAATGTACAGTTGTCTCTATTCTTTACTGGACCAAAACAGAAATAAGATCCTTTGCACATTCTTGTCTTTTTTGTGTCTTTTGCTTTTTTGGGGTTGCCTATTTTTTTAAGACTAGCTGGATGTGAAATCTGTGAAAATGTCCTATTAACAAAAATACAAATATCACTTTTCACAGCTGACTTACTCAGCCCCGGCAAGTCCTGGATGAAAAGGCAGAGAAAGATAGGGGGTGAAAGGACATTGCAGAGCCAGGAGGGAGATTGAAATCAGGGGCAGAACAAGACACCAAGTGGCTAGAGCCTGCCACCCACCACCACAGGGCTGAAGCCTGACACTACTACCCCCAGGAAGGTGGGAAATTGGGTGCCTGCTCTTCCAGCTTTTGTGTCTCCAGAAAGGGGCAAGGCCCAACTGCTGACAGTCTGTGTGGAGGGAGCATTACTATGCTTTCCCCCTCCACCTTGCAATCACTGTCCAGGAAGCTATGGTGACAAAAAACACCCCAGGGGCCACATCTGAGAAACACTGTGTACTCTCTAAAGACATCTTCTCCACCCATTAAGACCTGCATCTCTTTATTACCATCATAGTTATAAAAGCCCTGCATACTTTAAATTTTATATAGTTATCAATGACTGTGCTGAATATAAGCATACACCCTCATTCAGCTTTCTTCAGCACAAGTAAATCTGTTTTTAGATGACATTGATCACAGACTGCAGGCTAAGTCAGCACTGTCTAGTTTTTTGGGTACTAAGCAAGTGCACTCACCAGTGCCCAAAGCATTGACTCGCTGTACAGCAACCTGACTCCAAGCTCCAGGAGCTGCCCCACAGTCTATCACAGAGAGCCCTGGACAAAGAAACTTATGTTTGTCATCTATCTCCAGCAATTTAAAGGCACTCCGACAACGATAATTATGCTGTTTTGTTGCCTTAACAAACGGATCCTTCAGATGCCGCTCCAACCAGCGGTGCTCTGCCCCAGTTTTGCTCTTTAGACATCCTGCTGCACTGTGGAACCTTTGGCACTGAAAGGAGGTGCTCACCAACCTCTGATAACTATAACAAAGAAAGACAAGTTAATCTGTTACTGCATAACCACTGTGCACTTGATAACTATAGGTCTCTCACCTAATAGACTCCAATTCTAATCTCATTCCTTTCAATCTATCACTAAGCTCTTCTACAGATAGGACTCTTGAAATTTACTGTTGCATTTTAGAGACTATTAGCCACTTGCAATTAATAATTATTTGTATTGTAGTAACATCTAAGAGTCTCGAATATGGACCATGAAATTTACTGTCACATTTTATAGACTATTAGGCACCTGCAATTAATAATTATTTGTACTGTAGTAACGTCTAAGAGTCTTGAATATGGACCAAGAAATTTACTGTCACATTTTATAGACTATTAGGCACCTGCAATTAATAATTATTTGTACTGTAGTAACGTCTAAGAGTCTTGAATATGGACCAAGAAATTTACTGTCACATTTTATAGACTATTAGGCACCTGCAATTAATAATTATTTGTACTGTAGTAACGTCTAAGAGTCTTGAATATGGACCAAGAAATTTACTGTCACATTTTATAGACTATTAGGCACCTGCAATTAATAATTATTTGTACTGTAGTAACGTCTAAGAGTCTTGAATATGGACCAAGAAATTTACTGTCACATTTTATAGACTATTAGGCACCTGCAATTAATAATTATTTGTACTGTAGTAACGTCTAAGAGTCTTGAATATGGACCAAGAAATTTACTGTCACATTTTATAGACTATTAGGCACCTGCAATTAATAATTATTTGTACTGTAGTAACGTCTAAGAGTCTTGAATATGGACCAAGAAATTTACTGTCACATTTTATAGACTATTAGGCACCTGCAATTAATAATTATTTGTACTGTAGTAACGTCTAAGAGTCTTGAATATGGACCAAGAAATTTACTGTCACATTTTATAGACTATTGGGCACCTGCAATTAATAATTATTTGTATTGTAGTAACGTCTAAGAGTCTCGAATATGGACCAGGTCATATTCTGCAACAGCACTGTACAAGCACAGAATAACGTATGGTCTGTGCCCCACAAAGACCTTGGCAATTACAATGAGATTTTCCTACCAATATTAGCCAATCCTTGAAACAGCTGTGACAGACGGATATTATTGGATAAGTGATAGAAATGTAGCCATGTTAGTCTGGGGTAGTTGAAGCAAAATGCAGGACAATGTAGCACTTTAAAGACTAACAAGATGGTTTATTAGATGATGAGCTTTCGTGGGCCAGACCCACTTCCTCAGATCAAATAGTGGAAGAAAATAGTCACAACCATATATACCAAAGGATACAATTAAAAAAATGAACAAATATGAAAAGGACAAATCACATTGCAGAACAGAAGGGGATGCGGGGGGGTGGGAAGGGGGAGGAAGGAAGGTAAGTGTTATTGGATACAGTGACTCTCCCCCAGCAATCTGATGGCCTTTGTGACGCTAAATGATACTTCTTGGTGCCAGGGTCTAGGGCGGGAAGAACAGAGCGGCCCAACTGCGCAGGGGCGCCCCCGGGTCTCGGGTAGAGATGAGCTCCCGACACCCCCCACCCTCCGCAGGAAGAAGCACCAGAGCCCCGGGATCCCGGCTCCTCACCGGCTCATAGCCCCGGCCCGCAGCGACAGGCCCCTCACGCTCCCTGTGGCTCCTCTGAGGCCTCCCCGCCCAGGAACAAGCTGCGCGCCGCGGGTTCCGGCTCGGCGCCGCCGGGGCGGGCGGAGGAGAAAGCGGCTTTCCCGCTCTGGGCACCGCGGG